GAGGAAAAGGCCAGGGCACTGTCGGGTGGCATCAGGCTACTCGGGGCCTCCCAAGGAGAGCACAGAAGTGGAGAGAGCAGCAGTTGGTGTGATCACCGAGAGCACTGCAAAGTGACTGACGGGTCCCAAGTCAAAACAGCATGAATGTGCTCGACGAAGCTATCATTTTCATCTTCATGAGGCGCAAGGAGGAGGGACTCATGACAGGAAACATGCCCCTCAGGATAGCTCATCATTTAAAATTTATCACTTATTAATTTCTGGAATCTCCATGAAGGCTCTTTAGACTGTGACTGCCCACCTTTAAGCAACTGAGGAAGGAGAATCGGCGGCAATGGGGCACCCCTGGGCATCCACGCAATGGAAAGTTACTCTGCCTTCAAACGCCAAGGAGTAGTGATCTGTGCTACAACCTGAAGGAATCCTGAGGACATTACCTACCCTGAAATGTGCTCAGATTCCTCCTCCATGATCTCCCCACTGTGGTCAAATTCACAGAAACAGGAAGTAGAGGAAGGGAGAGGAGGGGACGGGAGCTGCTGTTAAAGGCCTTTAGAGCTTCAGTTTTGTCAGCTGAAGAGAGATCAGTGGAGGGATGGTGGTGACGGCTGCACGCACTTCAGTACACTTGGGAAAGGGCCCGAGAGTGGAGCTCAGTGGCAGAACTGCACAAAGCCTCAGGGTTCACACCCTGCACAACACACGGATGCACGGGCTCACATCCGCACACACGCACAAAACAAAAAAAAATGTTATATTTTAAAGAAATATCTTACCAGAAAAAAAAAAAAAAAAGCAGAAATGCTGATGCATATGTGATTATTTTGCTCTCAGGAGTAAGACATAAGGCCCACGTGCTAAGTCACCTAAGCTGGATTGGACGCGGCAAGGCTCCTGACACCAAGCAGGTGGTTAGTTGCTAACACACTGCTGGGAGCCCTTTCCTGAGGCTTTTCAACCCCTTTATACTAAAGGTTCTTACACACCTGGGGCTCTGGACCACACCCGAAGGTCTAGGCCAGATATGTTTTTTTTCTTTTTTGCAATACTAGTGGGAGCCTTGGGCTGTCTCACTGTAACCCAGGACTACACAGGGACCAGACTGGGTAACGGATGTCCACCAAATGGGCACACTAACCCTCAGAGACTGAGCCCCATCTAACACCAGGGTACCAAGGCTCTACTGAGCTTCCCCGATGACCAGCGCCAGCTGTGCGTGGCCCGCCTTGCTGCTGGCAGACCTGACCATCATCTGTGACTCTCCTCAGAGAGCACCAATGAACCCCAATGCCTGTCTTCCTGCATTCCACCCTG